ACCAAGTACAACCTCTACGACGTCGACATGTCCGCCCTCAGGTTTGCTTCACTCAGTTATGTCTGGGGTGTCGCTCCACAGAAACTCGTCCTTCAAATGAAGAATGAAAACGAGCTCCGACGGCCCAACTCTCTCGTTGGAAAAGTCTCCCAGACCATCTTGGACGCCATCCACCTAACCGAACAACTTGGCCTTAACTACCTTTGGGTCGACGCCCTGTGCATCATCCAGGACTCCGAAGATGACAAGGTCATGCAACTTGGCAACATGGCCAATGTATACGCCCACTCTTTGTTCACCATTATTGCGGCGGCAGGTGACGACTCCAACTTCGGTCTTCCCGGCATCAGTACCCCCCGTGATGCAGTCCAAGAGGTAGTACCGGTCATGGCCCCATCGGATAACAAACCCGGAATGTCCCTCATCACTGCTCTCTCTCCTACCCATCAGTCCCATGAACACCCAACCCGCAAGACCGTATGGGCCTCTCGCGGATGGACACTTCAAGAGCGGGCCCTCTCCCGACGTGCTATTGTCATCATGAAGAACCACGTCCTGTGGTCCTGTTCCCGCTCTCATTACTCGGAGGAATCTTGCTGCGAGACCGCTACCCTCGGCACCCTGGCGTGGTTCGGCCTTCAAGAGTCTGACCCCATCCTCAACTCCTCCGAGCGAACGTGGTATACCCAAGACATCCCCGAAGAGCAAGTCTGGTACAAGTTCCAACGCTTGGTCCAGGATTATTCCGGTCGCGATCTGAAATACCAAGGCGATGCGCACGACGCTTTTAGTGCGGTGGTGGAACAAGTCCGCAGAATGACTGGAGAGAACTTCCTCTGGGGCATGCCCAGCGGCCGGTTCGAGCTTTGTCTCTGCTGGGAACCATATCGGCGAGGTCTCAAAAGGAGAACGGAGCTGAGCACGCTGGAGATGACCAGCTTCAAGCGGCATGTTCCCTTACCAAGTTGGTCGTGGCTGGGATGGTCCGGAGCAATCTGCCTGAAGGTGCAAGACCGCGAGCTCGAAGTGGGACTGAACCCCAAGGTAGTCTGTTTCGTTCTGCGCAACCACCCACTCCGTGTCTTGCCGGTGCGACGAATCTCATTCGACAACGACCCCGAGCGGGCCAGCTCGTGGGCCATACCCAACGTTACGGACAGCAAGTACTCGGTCACCCTAGACGACATCTACGACAATCTCCCCTCTTTGACCCCCGAAGTGCTCCTTGACACACCAGATGACCAACTCGTCATCTTCTGGACTGAGTCAGCGCGCTTCAGACTCTCGGAGCTCAAAGTGCAAAGACCATCAGAGTTGCAAGATAATCCGGTGCATATGAAGGAGTACACCAAGTATTACCGAGACATCATCGATGACGACGGAGAAGTGGTTGGGAAGACGCATCCCTGTGATCCGGAAGCCAGGGATATTGGAGTGGATGAGAAGGGTGACGGCAAATGCGAGTTTATCCGTCTTGCCAACAACTATCTTCCGTTCTGCGATCCGGAGAAGGTGGTGATGCAGGTACGGAGGGGTACCGGAAAGGAAAACAAGGACGTGAGATACCGTGTCAACTTGGCGGAGATCAAGAAGGAGGCGTGGAAGAGTGTTTATGAGAAGAGAGTGTTGGTTGCGCTAGGTTGAGAGGGAGGGCTGCGTTGCAGGGATGACCTCTTCTGGCGTCTTTAACTTGGTTGGGTTGGTTTCGGGTATCTAACTGCACGTATTGCTCTTGTCTTATTGTTCGATGGTTCTTCACAATGCATGTCCTTCTTCCAGTTGTTTGCATGCTGCATCCTTTTGTCCAACTCCCAACAATTTTGCTTGCCACGAGGGTGGTATTATAGGTGCCTGCTGCGCTTGCTAAGGCCGCTTCACTTTCACCGTTGATGTAGGGTGGTCACGGAACACCGACCAGGTTACGGGATGTCTTATTCCACCCGGCTTCAACTACCGATATCTGAGGCTACTTCAAGATCCGAACCGTCGGGTCTTGGGAGTCTCCACCACTGCAGCCTCTGTAACGGATCAACGTACAGATTCGTATCGTTCGAAGGAGACCAGGAAGGTTGTAGTAGTTGAAGACCGGAAAGAGGGACACCTGTGGTGGACCGTCAGTCCCCAGACCCCGTCTGTGTTCGATGGAAGTGCAAACCCTGTGCAGCTTGGGTTGCGTTGATCCTTTTGACTGAGCTTGATCACCGCTTGTACTACATCACTATCTCGTACCCTCTGAACTACAGCTATCATCCTTGATCTATAGCGTCGGGTCTATGGGGGCCCCACGAGTTGCATGCACGCCAACATGGACGTCCTAGAAGGCAGTGCGTGCAAAAGTCAGGCCTTCCAGACAAAGTTTGAGATATCGAAGCCGTCCTATAGGGAGGTGGGATGGCGACATACGGGCCTGAAAGAAGTCTTATCGGAGTTGCACGGGTGAGCCAATCCATTCGTCGCAACAAGACACCAGCCACTTTTTGGAATTGAGCATCTCGACCATTTTGGATAGGGGTATGAATTGTATTGACTAAGATAGTATATTCGTGACTTGCGACCATTCTGTTGTGGTAAACAGTCATGGCCAAGGTGCATGCTAATGTCAATATCGATGTGGTGTCTGTGGGTAGAGGTATATAGGTGAAAGTTTTCGTGGTCTAAATCGTGGTCCGTTAGCATAGCGGGGAGAGTCGTGGAATACGAGCTTTGCTCGGCAGTACTGGCAAATGGCAACATAAATCCTCATGATCACAGGTTCGATTCCTGTGCGGGCCACTTTTTTTACCTTTCCCCCCCTTTTTTTTCCTTTTTTTTCCTTGGGCATTTCATCCGACCTTGGTCCTCCGACCTCCGTTGGTTGACTTTTCTTCAGTTCATTTCTATCGCCCCCGCGGCTCGGTATCCACTCATCTCAACGGGCTGCGTCGCGTGCTACGTTGTTGGCCCGCTCATTGCTTTTCCTCTTGCCCCTCCATTCGCCGTCCCTTCACCAGCAACTGGTGTCGCAAGTCTGCAATCTACACCATTGCCTCCTTCACCCTACCACAGTCCCCATCTGGATCTTTTGCGATTCACAACCTTGTCAACGTGCTTCCTGACTCCCACCGGCAGATGGTTAACATCTTTTCTCTTTCACCTCCTTCTTACCGTTCGTGATCATTGCAACCTTCCGCGCGTTGACGGGCTTCGGATCGTGTAGACGAATAGTTACATGGCGACAGATTGCAAAGGTTAGTCAATATTCATCGCGTATGTTCTGGCTATATGGCGGGACTAACGTCGGACTCCTTAGCTCCACGCGCCTATCCTTGTTCATCATGGAGCCGTCACAGATTCTCCCATCCATCGAGGTAGAAGAAGTTCGGGCAGAATACTCGAACGCTACTTCGACAGCTTCCTCGAATAACACGAATACACCCAAAGTAGCGCCAAGACAACGCTCAGTGCAGTCACCCCCTCCAGCCTCCGACCCAAGAATCTCGGCGTGGAGAGCTGAGCAGAGGACATTCAAGGGAAAGATTGTTCAGAGCTCAGCCTTGCAGGCCACTAGAACAGCCCTAGCTGCTCAGAAGGCCGGTCTGTGGGTCAAAGGCAATCCGCAGTTCGCAATCTTCTGCGACGGATCTTGCAGGAGCACCCAAGTTTCCCAATTTCACGGGACAAAAGGAGGCTACGGAGTCGTGTTCAGGGATCCATATGAGCCTGACGACCGTGATATAGACCTCGCCTTCAACAAGAACCAGTTGAGGAGTTTTGAGGAGTCAGAACGCGACGGTCTCAGAGAGGACGACTAAGCAGGGGGAGGAAGACTAGTGTCTGACGGGATTGAGTTGGCTCTGGCCTCTGGATATGGGTCATGATGGAAAGGACCGTGAAGTGCGTGTCAGGAAGATCAGTCATCGTAAGGAGATTGCATAGCTCATGGAAGGAAGTTCTCCTCCTTTAAAACTTGCCAGGGAACGTGGTGTATCAAGGGGACTTGGTTTAAAGCTTAAGAAAAGGGGATGGGTGATCGATAAGGTGGAACGCAGGGGTAATACAAGTGTATTTGACTCTCGAAGTGAAGTTGATACTTGACATCATGTCTACAATTTCTGTCCGTTATAGACACTTGGTCCCTTACAAGTGTAAACCAACGCGCGCTGTCCATGTCTTGCTCTTCAGACTCCAAATCTCTTGGGTCATATAACCTCATGCTTCCATGGAAGCTTTTCCTTCCAACCGTTTCCATGCCAGGTCGAGTGCGGCTGTGCCAAGACTGGGGCACGGGCATCATGTTTGCCGGTAACGAGCCTCTGCCGGCGTCCTTCCACCTTCTCAACCTTTTCCTAGTTCTTTGTGGCCCACTACCCGTAGAGCTAAACTTTTCTGCCCCGCGCACAAACAAGACTCGGCATTCATCCACAATCATCATCACACCTTTCAAAGTCCAAACCATCACGGCACCTCGTATAGACTTCTCTTTTCCGGCAACTGTTCTGCTTCGCCACGTCCAATGGCAGGCACCAAGAGATCAGCTCCCTCGAGGAGCTCCTCACCGGAGGATGGTCCGAATAAGAGGGCGCGAATTGGCCACAACGACGAAACGAAGAACCGCGGCGCACAAGACAAGAACTTTGAGCGGGAACAGGAGGAGGAGCTGAAGGACTCGAAGAAGTACCATGAACAGGCGACGAACGACCAAGAGATGGTGGTGAACGATGACTCGAGCGTAAATGACGAAGCCAAAAAAGATGACGAAACCCGATCCCAACCAGCAGCCGTCATCGATCAGTTTCAGCATGGCGTTACCAACACATCACCGACTGTTTCGCGAAAGGGGAATGATGAAAATCTTCCCCCAAGTTACATGAAGCTTGAGGAGCCGGGTGAGAAGGATGAGAAACAGAGGCTGGAAGATGAGGTCGTCGATGGCTGCTTGGGGAGATATGCAGAATCGAGTGTGCGGTGGAGAATGCAAAAAATAAAAAGGAAAAAATGAAAAAAGAAAAATGAAAAAAGAGTGGCTCGTACCGGATTCGAACCGGTAGCTTCTATGCTGGAGAGCTTGAAATACCGCAGAACAACAAGAGGTCAGCTAAGTAGTGTTGACCGTTACACCAACGGGCCACGGGAAGGTGGGCGGAACGGGAACCTTATATGCCCTATAGAAGGTCAGAGTTGGGATGAGAGGTTGGTAGCGGAAATACCCGCACATGCCATCTCAGATACGGCAGGCAGGCACGCAGCACGCAGGCTCTGCGGCAGATCTGCTCTTGGTGCTGTACTGCCCGTGTATAGGTACCTATTGTTCCAGGTGGGGTGTTGTTCCTCTCCTTCCCAACTCTTATATTCCTTTCTTCCTCGTCTTCAATTTCTCATTCCCTCTCCCCTTATGAATGATTGACTTTGTACGACTTCCTTTTCTCTACTTGTAAAGCCCACCGCCTTTCCTCAATTTTCACTCCATCGGTCCCTTTTTACTTTTGCCTCTTCACCTTCCCGCCGTGGCTTCCGCGCGGGTTTATCTTATTTCCTGCCAACATCGTCGTACGGTTACGGTAGATCCGTCTTGATCACTCCGATCCCGAGACTGCATAATCGTGGCTGTCCAAGGATGGTCCTGACTATAGCCCCTACTATTCTAGCAAGTCTTTCGGTCGTCCATCTTGAAGTCAAGTATCAAGTCCTGGAGTGCGGACCTTGCGGAAGTCCTGCGGCGGCCTGCCTTTTAACCGGAGACACCTATTGATCACGAGTGAAAGAACTCCCTTTTATCCTAAACTACCTCTATAAAGATCAGGCAGGAGAGTGTCAATGTTTTCTTTTGGGTCTGTTATACTGTCCACAACACATCGCACCTGGGCCAATGAGTGTTCTGGTCCGGACGGGAATCATGCCTTGAGGATTCCCACATCCTGCTTTGTCGATGTATTTGTTACCGCTGGGCCGTTGTTTGTTTGTCTGCTTTGATCGTTCATTTTCGCTAGGTCAATAAGGTCTTATTGAACATGCGATATTTCGGAGCCAGAGACTTCTTGTCAGGCTGTCAAAGACCGACTTGGCTATATCAGGACGGCAACCTACCTAGTCGTGTGCCCTGAGTTCCTAACAGTTTCTCATCCCACTATCCTCTCTTATTACATGGCATGTGGCGCCTATACACTTTTGCGTCGATCCCGTTCATGTTTCGAACCCAATGCTGGAGGAAGAAATGTCTTCCACCTTGTTTCCACCAGTTTCCCTTCATCCCAAGATGGCCTATGCTCCCAACCTTGAGCCCCCCTTTCGGCCGCTCTCTGCTTTCTGTCAGAGCCACCGGCGGCCGGCCCCACCCTCCCGCTGGTCGCCGGCCCCACCCTCCCGCTGGTCCACACTTTTCTTGCCGGCTACCACTCCTTGCTCGCGGTCCCAATGCTCTTTTAGAAACAGCGGCGGAAATTCCACCTTCGACATGGACCACATTAGAACGTCAAGCCATTTCCAAATCCACGTCCAACACAACGAATACACACGCGTTGCAGGACGTAATGCCGGCTACGAAAACCAACAAAGACGAAGAACAAAACGCGCAGCAAGACCAGCGACCCGACAAGGTGGAAGTGGCCCAAGCCGGGCCCGTTCATGGCCAGGCCCCCGCCACGATAGCTACCATGCCCTTATCCTTGCGTCCGTCTCCCTCGCCTGTCACAGACCAACGAATCTCTCAGTGGAAGAATGAAAAGCGCACGTTCAAAGGAACCATTACTCGAGAAAGAGATGCCATGGATGCCGCCGGGGCCGCTGAGGCAGCTCGAGCTGCACAAAAATCACCGCTCATGGTAGACGGAGAGCCCCAGTTCGTCCTGTTCTGCGATGGATCAAGTGTGTACAAACCGGGCAGTCGAGAGCTTAGAGGTTCACAAGACGGAGGTTACGCCGTGGTTTTTCGCGACCCATACGACACCGACAAATCAGCTACCGCCAGAGCTTGTGAATCAGCGAAAGTCACATTATCTCACAAGGAAGATGAAGACGGCATTAAGATCGAGGACTTTACCATACGGAACTGGCTATCCCACAGAACGTTTGGAGCTGGTCACTGCGAGATCGCTGCTCTTGCCCAAGCACTGGAAGAGGTTGCCAAGCGAATTGACCAGCACCACCCGCACGCATCGATGGTCAAGATTTTTACCGATTCTGATGGCAGCCTAGGACGACTTCAAAAGGGCATTCTTACCTTCGGTACGACAACAACGGATGGCAGCAACACCCGCAAGCGCAAGCATTCTCTCGAGTCCATGCCCCTTCCCGACCGAGACACGTCTTTCTACGCCAAAATAACCAACCCGTTTGTACAAGTAATTGTGTGGTTGTCGCATTACCTCTCTGACCGCGGCTGCCAGATCGAAATGATCTGGATGCCGCGCAACACCACACTGGGTCACAAGTTGGCCGATCATATGGCCTACAAGTGGAGGAAGAATAACCCGGGTGATGCTTTCAACCAGAAGTATCTGCCTCGCAGTCAGAGGGACGGCATAATGGACAAGTTGCACGACGAGGTTGGTCCCATTGAGCGTGAAAGAGTCTATATTCGCCGTCCGGCGAGCCGAAGGAAGATTATGAAGAAGGTTAAGCGTGGGACTCAAACTCGGGGCAAGGAAAAGAGGAGTGAGAGAGACCTGATTGCTGTCCTCGACAGTCCAAGCGACTATATTGCTCTCGACTCGGAGGAGGAGGAACTTGAGCCACAGCCGCAACGCCCGAGCAAACGGAGGAGGAAGAGAGAAGGTGATGCGACCAGGGCCAACATGAAGCAAAGGAGCACAACAGACTTCATTGCATGTGTTCCGGACTCTGATAGCTCCGAGGACAAAAAGCCTGCCGACGAGCCCGAGCCCAAGCCCAAGCCCAAGCCGCAGGCTCGCAAGAGCAGGAAGAACATGAAGATCAGGGGCGCGATCCAGATCCCGGCCAAGGGAAAAGAGGCTCCGATTTTGATGCAACAGCATGTACCTGCTGCAGCTGGAGCTGGTGGATTCCTCAACGGCAATGACCACGACTTCAAATTCACCTTCGACCAGGGCACATGCAACATGCCCGCTTATCCCACTCCCAGCCAGCAACACGGAAACCGCGACCCCGGCCCCGGTTGTCCTTTGTGCCACATGCAGCACGCTCAGGGCGATGATGAGCATGAGTACCCGTGGAGCAGGAGGTCGGGATACACCGGTCTGCCTTCCCAGTGGACTTTGAGAGGGTAATAGGGACCTCTATCCGAGACCTCTAATCTTTTCGCAAAGTATCTATGTCGATGATACACTAGTTGCGTACAAGTATTTCTTTATTTTGTTATTAGTACTGGAGTTGTAGTCATCGGTGAGTGAGTGTAGCGAGCATTTCTGTTCTGTCACGATGACTGCCCTGTTCTTGGTCATAGGCATGATACTGCACCCAGGATTTGAAGCCCTTGATGTTACGGTACCTGGGCAGGCAAGCGGGAGTCATGGGTGCATTTGAAGGGGGGCTTTTAGTTGTTTGTTCTACTCATAAGAAGCATGTGTTTGAGAGAAGTAGGTATGTAGACAATGAATTCATTGCGTTATCGCGCCGTTTGAAGCTGACAAGCGTGGCTTTTTATTTACAATCCAACCGGCATTAAATTTCATTAAGCCCGTTACACATTTAGTATTCAGTTTTATATAAAGGTATAGACATAATGCAAGACCCATCGGCAGCAAGGGGTGCATAGATGTATGAATCGTTGATTGGGTATCATAACAAGTAGTTCTAGTACTTCAAAACACAGGAAATGTCCCAAGACCTCCCAAAGAACACTACTACCTACTCTCAATCGCATTTCCATATCCTGACAAAACGCCCGCTCGAGGCAAAAGGGGAAGAAAACCCAGCACCAACACAAATATTCCGCCATATAACACCAACGATCCAAGCGCACGGGTCATGCATGCTATATGCCGGATCCCACGGGCTCGCAGCACATCAACGGCTCAAGTACCTACCTCGCCCATGCATGGTCAAGGCACGGTGCCAGCGTGCTGCGTGATAGACCCTTCGCGCGTTCATGTTCGCCTGCATAATCCAACCACTCAAGTCGACTTCTTCTTCTTCTCCTCCTCGCCGCCACTGACACATGTGTTACCTACTGTTAGTCTGTAGAAGAGTAGAACCCTCCACTCCTTCCACCTTTTCTATCTCATTTTCTCCCTCCTTGCCATCTTCCTGCTCTCTCTCCTCCGCATTTCCTTCATTCTTCTCTTCTTTGGTCCTTCTCTCCTCTTCCCTGTCATCCTTTTTCTTTGCCTTACGGGCGACCTCAAGCTCATCGTCATCCTCGATCTCCCAGCATCGTCCGCGGATAGGAGAACGTGGCCTGGGGAACGTCCCATGGGCGGGAACGAACCCTGGCGGAAACTCGTTCAATGTGGGCGCTTCGGGTTCAGCCAAAGGTCTCTGATCGGGATCCTCAGGGTGCGATGCCTGTCTAGTGGAAGCCGAAGGGACATGCGGGAATCGTATCCATATCCATTGAAGTCTTGAAGGGGGCCCGGCCATGATCGGGTCGAGATCAGGGGTTCCGAAGTAACGGGGTTCGGCTGTTGTAGCCATTTGCTGATTGCGTGGCGCTTCCTGTTGATGGCGCTTGTTTAACCTCCGCTTTTTCATTGGGCGTTCCGGCCCAGAGGCAGGGTTCGCCGTGGGTGGCGGAGTGAGTCTTGACCGAACAATATCGCTAACCTCCTCGTGGAGCTTGTCCATAATCCCGTCCCTTCTCCCGCTTGCCAAGTTCTCCTGGCTGTAAATGGCATCCTCTCTACGCCACAGGCCAGCAACATGATCGGCAATGATGGCTCCGAACGTGGAGCAACGAGGCATCCAATGAATCTCAAGTTTGCAACCGTGTTCGAACAAGAAGTGAGACTGCCAAACAATTGCGCGGACAACCGGAATGATGTGTCTCTTGTGGAATGGCAAACCCTCTGTTCTCTTCCGTTTGCGTTGATTATGAGCATTGTTTACCGCCTGTATGGTCTTCTGGATGTGCATTTGAGAGTCCCGTGAATCCGTAAAGATCCTAATCGTAGCTGAGACAGGGCCGTGCTTTATAATACGCTTCATAGCCTCCTCATTGGATTGAGCTATAGCACAGAGCTCTGCATGGTGGGGAGTGAAGGTCATGCCCGATAGCCATTGCCGGATTGTAAAGTCGTCCTCTCTGAGACCGTCGCGTTCTGACTCCTCAAAACTCCTCAACTGGTTCTTGTTGAAGGCGAGGTCTATATCACGAAGAGGCTGCCGCATCAGCAAGAGCTGGGCCCAAGGCACAGCAGCGAGGGTGCCAACGAATTTCAACTGAGCAACCACGCTCGTAAAGGTGGTGTGATTGCCAGACAATGGTTCGCACTAGCGGGTTGGTGGACCAGCGAAAGAAACTTCCTTCGTCACTGTCCAGGGGAAGAATGCCAAACTCGAGCCGCTCAAGGGCTGTGACAGAGTCCGTGAAGACTCTGATGTTCATGGCCTCCGGTTGATGTTCGTCTTGTAGCATTATACCTACTTCCAAGGACTGTGAGATTGCAGCCAGCTCAACATGGCCCACAGAAAGGGTTTTGGTAGCATATTCGAGCACGGTGAAATCAGTCACCTGAGCAAGGCCCTCTTGATTCTCATTCCCTTCTTGTGGCTCGGAGCTAAAGGCCTGCTGGGGATCATGAATGGTCAGCCTCCCGATGAATCGGGCTGGATCAGCTTGGGAGACGAAGTCGCTTGTGCCGAAGAATGGGTCACGGAAAGCTACACTATAGCCTCCCTTCTTCCACCCTTCGAAGCTTGTCTGCTTCACAGAGCCATCGCAGAAAATCGAAAGCTGGGGAACTTGGCCAAACTGAAGCGGCCCATGTGATGCGCTCAAGGCCACTCGACCGGCTATCTCTGGATAGTCTTGGAAGATATCACCTGCGAACGCGCGATCTTCTTGTTGCCACAGAGGGATGCGAGGGTCGGAGTAGGTAGCATCCGACTCGTCCTCGTTTCTGGCCTGGGAGTGAGGATTGAGCTCGTAAAGAAAGTGGGCGTCGCCCCATCCCCAGCTCACCACACCCGTGTTCCCGTCGTCATTTTCCACGTTGTCCCGGTCATCTTCGGCTTGGTCGTGGTCCTCAGGCCTGTCGTCCGTTGTCAGGACTGCCGCGTCGTCGGACACGGACGATTCGGATACGGATGATTCGCCTTCTTGTGCGAGAGGGGCCCGCTGCTCTGTCGTTGAGTCGGAAGAGGGTCTCGCTGTGGTAATCATGTCTTGCTCGGAGTCAGAGCTCGATGCCAAATCCATGGGAGCCTCTCCCCCGCTCTGGGATGGCCCTTCGCTATCGTTTTCCTCTTCAACCCGAGGTCGCTTCTCGGTATGGCTGTCTGGCGAGGAGGAGGGATGCGTCGTGCGGTGACGTTTTGTTGGTAACATTGCAAGTCTACAAAATTGCTGGGAAGAAAACTGTCAGCACTGGATCTTGGTGAAGGTGAGGGAAAACACATAATTACTTCGTATATAGGTAGGTTGCGTAAGGGCTTTGGTTGAGTGTTGGGTCGTCGGTACGTGCCAGAAGACATATCCAAGATGATGTGCGGGCGAAGTTGTAAGAAAAGAAGAAACGACTGATTTGCGCTGGGACAAAAGGAATTTGAATCCTATGGTCGAATGGACGAAAGGAAAGCGCGACCAGGAAGGGAAAAACAATCTCTACGCGTTGATGGATGATGCGGGGTAAAAAGAAGAAGGAGGGGGAGACTTTGCGGCAGGAGCGATACCTGCAAGTGAAGGGAACTCAAAAGAGTCAAACCGCCATGTCTAAAGCTCGGGCCAGTAGCTAGGACAAAAAGAAAAGAATTCTCGGGATGACCATCACCCCACGGTCGCGACTTGGGATAAATAGTTCTTTGGTCTTTTGACACATGGCATTGTTAGTCCTTCATAACGAGAATGTCCTTGAGCAACATACCGACCGCAAAATACTGCTCGAACGTGACCCGGCAGGACTGGACAGCACTGGAAGTAGTAAAGGATTATGCGATAGTGCGATGGCCAATTGAAGCCGGCTTCAGTGGACTTGCACTAACAGTTGGGTCTGGTATCCACATGCGGAGGTGGACAGTCCAGGATGTGTTAGTGATAGTGCAGCCGCCTAGCTTTAGCAGGCACAGCGCTCTTCCGTTAACGCATCGACATAAGGAATTGCCGCTATTGGCAGGTGGATGTTACGTGGCAGTTGTCGCCCACCACTCACCAGGCTCTGCGGCAGATCTGCTCTTGGTGCTGTACTGCCCGTGTATACCTCTAGGTACTCTTGCGGAGCTGGTGCTCTTAACGAATGGGAAACTTGGCTGAAATTTCGAAGGAAAAGTGCTGCAATGACAACTTTTCCATTTCTCAGTCCTGTAATCTTGAACATGAAGGTGAATAATAAGGCGAACGAGGTGAATTGAGTGTCCTATGCAAAATATCAATATTGTCCATTTAGAAGTCGTGCTCTACAAGAGGCGACCTGCGTGAGGAGGCTCCGACGGAAATAAATATGTAAATTGGAGGGGATAGTAAGCATGTACTAGTGAAAGGGCGGAGCTATGAGGAAGCTCCTCGAAAAATTGGAAGCAATCGTGTAGTCATAACTCAAAACACTTGAATCATAAAGCGATGAGAGAATTTATTAATTGAACATATACAACCATTAGATACATCACCTAGTTATAAATCAATGCGTTAACTAACAATTCTGCAAAAGACACCCTTCCTTCGTATTGAGCAGATGAATTGACCCATCCACGTTGGGAAGGGAAAAAAAAGAAGTGGCACGTACCGGATTCGAACCAGTAGCTTCTATGCTGCGAGCGTGATATACCGCAGTACAACAAGCGGACAGGTTAAGTCGTGTTGACCGTTACACCAACGAACCACGGGAAGGTAAGCGAGGAACCTGACTTATATACCCTAGAGCAGGTTAGAGTTGGGATGATGGGATTGACGAGGGGAAGGCAGGTGCGGCAGGCATTGATAGCGGAGGTACCCGCAGGACGCGCACATGCCGAAAAGTGGCTGGCTTTTTTCTCCAGGAGACCAGGCAGGTATACTGCACGCAGAAATGTCAAGGACCGCTGAAGCCGAAGTTAAGATTTTAATTCGCAATAACGCCCAGGACAAATGGTTCTTTACCTAACGTAGAGCCCAGTGAGCTCCTTACAAGTAATCAAAGGCACCGGACACATATTAAATCTCCCGAGGCGCATATATATAGGGCGTGTCGATGTTTGTCAATGGCAACGGTGCGGGACAAGCGAAGGGGTTATGTAATTGACAAAATAAGGAACAGAGTACGACAACGCGATAATATAATTGGTCATCTTTGCTTAGTCACCTTTGCCCGCTCGTCACGTGCTAGGCTCCGTTTCTAACGTCATCCCATCTTACGTCTTCTCTTCCTCTTTCAACATTCTCAACACGACAACATCCAAGATGCGCATTATGACCCGTCACGAGACGCATTTCCATCGCGGAACAATGGCTGCAACTCTTAAGCAACGCCGCGCTCCCTTCTCCCACTATCTTCCTCGTCTTCCTTGAATCGCGATCGGAGTCCGGAGATGCACCAACGCCCGACGGATGCCCCTCCTCGCTTCATTCAACGACTGGACCCAACAATCAATAACCTCACACCCACATCTTGAGCCATTGGAATAGTCAAGCTGCATGCCCTCAAGCCTGTGGCAAAAGATAACAACGTGAACGATTCCCGAATCAAGTCTTCCATCATGGATACCTCCATGAGCCGGCCGTGAAGCCACAGTCTTGCCTATTGGTCCCCCCAAATCTTGACTTCGTTCCCATTCGATGCTGGCCAACAGCTAGCGCCATCTTTGGCATCTAGAACACGGGCTGGCTCAAGCCACACGCAGAGCCTGCTCCTTCACACCCATCTCGTCGCAGTCGAGCCTGAAATCCCAGTTGTGAAGGCGATTCCGAAGTCAAGCAGATGGAGGGGCACACATCCGTCCTGTCGGTCTTCTCGGGATGGCCAGACTTCTCGTCGAGGGACATGGGGGCCGATCATTACAACAGCACCGATTTGCAGTATACATCTTCTGAGCGCTTTACTCTCCCCGGCACACTCTGGTTGTCTCTGCTCGTCCAAAACAACCGTACTTGAGCTTATTCTTCTCACTTTTTCTGTTCACTTTTACCGGGACATTTGCGACGAGAAACGACACAAAGATGGCCTCCAACCGGCTTGTTACCAGGTCAACCTTCCAATGGGCCCTATTGTTCTGCCTGGGCATCATCGGCTTCGCTATGAGCCAAACCACTGAGCTACCAGACTCGGTAGTCGGAATCTATCTTGGTCCTGATGGCGACAGTATGTCCAGGCTCTCCTCACCTGCATCCAAGTCTATCTCACTGATCCCATGTTTTCCAGCCTCTCTTTCATATTGTTCACCTGGACAGACCTTCACCTCCGAAGGTAGTTTCGCCTATTGCTGCGCATCCACGGAACCATCATGCGACTATGTAACGCGCTGTGTTGGCACTTCGGCGGATGCATGGAAAGGCATCGGTACATGGCTCTGGTGAGTGCATGAGCTCATGTTCAAATCAAACTAGTGCACGCGGCTAACACAGGCGGCTCGTCGCTTTATAGTCCCATTGATTTTACTTGCGCGGTTATGACAATAATGGACAAATTTCCCTCGGCCACCGACAGCTGGGTGCGGCATTGGTGCGCCAACTCTGATGTAGAGGCTCACACGGTATACCGTGAGATAGCCGCCACTACAACCTCGTCGACGACCCATCGCTCGCAGACCTCCCAGACAGCCGATCCTGCATCGTCGAATTGGTTATCAGAGGCATCAAACACTTTATACGACGACTACACCCCTATGGACAGTGGGGAATCTCCGTCGAAAGCGTGGATTGCTGGCGCCGTCGCCGGCCCTGTGGTCGCCTTGGTCGCTCTCGGCGCGTTTGCCTTTTGGTATCGGAGAAGAAAGCAACAGACAGCGACAACAGGAGGAAAATACTCACCGCATGTGGACCAAGATGATGGCTACAACCAGCCATATTGCGTCGCGGATCCACCAGAATACAAAGACGCTGGAAGTGGGAAGTGGAAGCCAACATCGACGCCTTCCAGCTGGCAGGGCAGAACATATCTACCTGTCTCTGAGCTAGAATCTGTGGACACGCGATATAAGGCTCCTATACTGGAGGCCCCATGAAAACCGAAGATAGGTAGGTACGCCGGCGAGGACCGCTGGGGGTGGTGCTGCAGTTTGGAGGCTGTCTGGGTGATACACGGGTGGGAACATGAATGGTGCATGATTCTGCCTAGTAGGTAACATGTACGGAAAGGCTCCCCCATTGTCCTCATTCCCCACCTCATTTGGTATACATCTTAAGCCACTATGCAGCCTGTCAGTGCCCATCTGTCATACATGATACGATAACACAACATGAAGCTACAAGATACCGTCCTAAAGCTACCACCCGTCATTGGTCCCGTAACACGTTCCAGCAAGCCACGCGAGTCCAGTGGAGGTCAACCTCTCAAGCAGGCTGGGAGACCGGTGACTGGACGCCACAATCGGTCCACATGGTTCTAGCCCTCCGCCATTCCACCTGAATGTATTATTCGACAGTCAGGTGGAAGTCAGAAGGGCTAGAACATCGAAGCTCTAGTTCAGGAAGACTACTTCTGTTATTTCTTGCATAAGGTACTTGTATGGCTTCGCTTTGTCATTGTAGCCTGCTTGCCGCTGATATTTATGTGATTTCGACCCCCTGCCCTTTATCTTCTACCATCATTGCCCCTTTGTCTTTAAAGACTCCATCAAACAACCTCATTTCATACCGGATTCTTTTTTTTTTTTTTTTTTTTAAGCGCCGAAAATGACTGGCAATAAGCTTCAAGCAGCACCTCCATTCAGCACCTTCGCCATCAACGCAAGCGTCCGACATGCCCTTCGCTGGTCTTGCATTTCGATGATCGGCGTTGTAGCCGCTCAGACAGCCATCCCAAACACAGTAAGGGGGATATACGTTCAGCCCGACGGTCACAGTAAGTCATGACACCAACTCGTTTCCTTCTTTCCCTCTACCTCTAGTGTGCTACGACTCACACAAGTGTCCTCGTTCTCAAGCATCCTCGGTCCTCTGCCCCGATGGCGAAACATTCAGCATGTCGGGCCCTATTGGCGCTTGCTGTCCAACCTGGACGACTTGCAACTATGCGACGACTTGTGTGATGGTTACACGTTCGTTAAGATACGGGGGTACGAATACTTGGTATGTTGAAGCTTCAAGTTCCTTCCTGACATCTACCCTGGCGACATAGGGCCCGAGTTGGTGCGCTCTCCGTCTCCGGTCAAATCATGGAAGTTGTAAGAATTCCATTGCTGACGCTCAAACCCGTACCTTACCTTACCCACAGTCCATCCGAATTCCCCTCCTGCGTCACCATGACCGTCTACGACAAATTCCCCACCGCAACCAAGAGCTGGCTAGACTTCGAGTGCGGAACCGATGACTTCTCTGCCCGCTCCGTCTACCGCGAGATATCCCCCTTGACGATACCCCCGTCTACAGGAACCGGCCTAGGAGTAGGGACTCCCACCGCGGCGACCAGCACCCAACAAGCACTGCCTACCCAAACAGTCACTGTACTCCCATCATCATCCTCCTCAGCCTCCGACCAAACCGAATCCACCAGCAAAGGACCTTCCTCTCAGGCTTGGATAGCCGGTGCCGTCGTCGGCCCTGTCGTTGCCCTCCTCGCGCTCAGTGCATTGGCTTTCTTCTGGCTGAGAGGGAGAAAGGGAAGAAGACAGGAACAAGCCGGGATGGTTATAGCGGAGGACATGAAGGGCACTGGGGGAGGGATGATGGGTAGTAATGGTGGCTACGACTACGCTCACACCACAACTACTCCCACGAATCTCCTTCGTCCGGAGATTCAGATGGCCAATGCACCGCAGTCGTGGCAGACGGGTGTTGGGTCGCCGACGCCGATGTCGATACCGGAGTTGGAGACGTATCAGAGGCCTGTGGAGGTTGCTTGATTGGGATGTGACATGGACTTGACTAGGTAGGTAGGTAAACTACCTAATTGATCTAACATAGGTATCGTCTTCTGCAGGAGAAGCTTCAAAGTTGGGACTTGGGTGTCCTTCCATTTCTGTTCTAACCTTTTCCCTGCCACTTATTATGCAGGGTACCTTACTTTCTGTGTCACAGGCAGAAGGTGTAATCTGATAAAAAAAGGGAGTTCTCTCAATTCAAGACGCATGTCGATAGGTGCTACAAGCTTAAAGCCGTCTTACCGGCTACCGTAAGGTACCCAATGAATTTCGCAAGATCGGGTTCCTGAAGCACTGGTAATCAATACGAATATGATGGGGCGGAACCTGCAAATCCCCGCTGGTTGCCGACATATCTTGAGGAAGTTGTGTTTCGCTATCCTGATTGGCCCTGTCCTTGCTAGCAATATATCACACACATCAGGGATACCTAATTTGATCCTTCGGCGAGCCGTGGCTGTGCCATTCATGCAATCCTCCGCTGCGTGTAACGCTAATCCTAGTCCAACTCATTTTTCAACAGCTGACACCTCGATAACCCACGGGTACCCCAAGAATCTAGGTACCCATCCGTCATTCCTATAGCTTAAGGTATGGTTGGTAAAAGGGACCATACCTGTATCCTACCCGATGTTGAAAGAGTCTTGAAGAGAACTGATAAATGCTTGTGTTACGTCGAGAACCCCGGTTTCTACCGAAACTCCACTGAACGGAGGTCAGTTGTTCCCTCCTTAATACCAATGAGGACTGTTGACCATTTCCTGGGGCCTGCCCTCTTGGCCTGCTCCGTTATCAGAAGAACCACGCTAACGGCCAAGCCAACACT